AGCAAGTGGGTGTTTTGCTAGGCAAGCAGCTTGTGTTGCCACTGCATTTCAGCCAGTTGAACACTCGCTGGGTATGACTGCCCTAACTGCCCACACATACTTCTGACATGCTGCAGGACATCACAAAAGCCAAGATACCTAACCAGGAACTGTTGCACCATCGGATGGAGTGGATGTGCTATACATGCATGAAGTTTTCTTGCTGAAGAATGGACAGCAGGTTGGTGCCACTGACACATATGACCCTGCTTGGCAGAAGCTGGCATGTGGTTAGCCACCTTACACTGGTCAGTGTAGCTTCTGTCTCCCAGGTATATCAGCTGCAAAAGAGTGTAGCAGAATTTTGCCTCGGTCATTGCATAAGCCCTTGGTCACTTGGGAGACCCTGGTGGTTCATGATAAGTAACCAGATAAAGCTATTGAGGAGGAGGAGGGGGTAAAGGTGACTGAGCTGTCATCATCATTAAGGTACATGATATGGGGTGGAACCACCTTTGTACTCATCCTTCTGAACCATCAGCAATTTTTTCCAGTGTGTAGTAAAATAGATGTACCATACTTTCTAGACTATCTTTCTGTGTTCATGTGAACCCTGTCACTGACCGTGTGGCCCAGGAGACATTATCTTCCACATGCCAGTGGTGAGAAGGGGCAGAGTCTACCAGCTGGAAATGAAACAGCTGTGAAGACAAACTGGCTCCAAAAGCTGGGGGGGAGACACCTGATGGAGGATGATGCTAGAAACAGTGGAGTGGGGTTAGGAGACTTATAGTGAGGGTCACAACTACTCTTGGCCCTAGTCGGCATGACCGTACGATAACCCTCTTCCCTGCTTGATTTGCAATGATCATAATTTGTAAGGTAAGCTTCTCAAACCCCTTGTCAGACTTCCACCTCATTGCTTGAGGCCACTGATGTTGCAGTAATTATGCTTCCAAAACATCCAATAACAAGTAATCTTCAGCATCCTCCATCAGCAATTACTCATTTTGTGCTGAAATATTTAATCTGACTCCAAAATTAGCTGTGATGGAAAAGGGTGCATTCTCAATTGATCAAAACGTGCTGCTCTCTGCATGGGAAGAGGAAGGCTTTGCTAGCCACTCCACAAACTCCTGCACATGCTCTGGCAGTATAGCATGCCCACTGCTGGAAGAAAAGGCAGGTGTGTCTTGCCTTTCAAAGGTGTGCCTGGACCATTGCTTTGTCCTGCAGAACTTGTTAATCCCCCTTTGGCTGTGCATGAAGAACCTCTCTCTTTTAGACAACCCTGACATGATGAATACAGGGGATTGCTTAACTTTATTAGAAGCTCCTGTCAAGCACTACCATTTTATTTATATCATAAGGAGCCAGCTGTCTTTACCTGGTTCTTGTAGCTGGCGCAAGCTGAAACAGACATCTGGTGCCACATATGTTTATATGTTGTCCTATGAATGGAAGAAAGTAATGCCTCCTGAAATTCCAACATTGCATATCCCAGGAGGCATTAATTTGCTCACCATTTACAGACCAACATGTAAATGAGCAGGGTGCCAGTTAGTGTTTTATGAGGCCCAAAACCTAAAGGTAGGAGGCATGGACCTGTGGGGTGGTAGGCGGACTGCCACAAATGGTTGCTTTATTTGTGTATTTACAGAGTCCTTTTATAGTATGAGTGAGAAATACACCTATTTTTTTTTTAAATTTAGGGTTTTTAATTAAGAATCCATATAATATTTTCATTGATGTTTCTATCATTGGGGAGATCTTTCTTTACTTGACAAGACAGGAAGCAAATAGATGCTCTCCTACAGGCTTGCACATGTTAATAAAAACTTTTAAAAGTAGTGTGGGCAAGGGTGAAAACTTTTGTGAATGTTTTCTTGCTGTCTGTGTCTTCATTATAAAATATTCCTTACTTTCACTTTGATCACCAAGACAGTAAGTGAGAAATCTCTCTAACAGGCCTATAGATGAAAGTAAAAAACTGAGAGGTCCTAACCCTTTTACACCATAAATAAATCTACAAAATGTGGTGGCACATGGAGGCTCAGTCATACCTATATATATGTGATTGAGCCTGCTCCGGTTTAGGAGCCCCTCCTGTGACCACTGTGTCCACCGAACACAACTGATACCCGATTACTGGTTACTGATGATTGGTCATAGCAATCACATGATAACAATGTAAGCAACCTGTTATGAATGGCTTTCCATTCATGAACAGCTTGCTTACTGTTGTTATCTGTGATTGGCCCACAGCAATCACATGGTACCTGGCTACCTGTACTATGTGATTAGCTTAGCCAATTACAGATCACAATAAAAAAACAAGCTGTTCATGAATGAGAAACATATTCATGACAGCTAAATCTATTGATTATACAGTGATCCTCAAAAATGCAAAAATCAAATAAAGAATTGTTCTTTTTTTTTAACATACTATCATCAGTCAGTATCCCTGATCACCACCACACAAGTCATATGATGACACTACTGCATTGGTTACAGTATGTAAAAAATACAATTGTGAAAAAAAAAAAAAAACAAATTTTATTTCACTTCTCTATTTTCTAAAAAATTGTGCCAAAAATTACAAGCTCAAAAAACTTGCCATGCCTCTTACCAAATACACTTATTGGGATTCTTTTTTTTTTTTTTACCAAAGACACGTAGCAGAAAACATTTTGGCCTAAATTTATGAAGAAATTAGATTTTTTTTCCTTATTGTCTTGACTGGATATGTTTTATAACAAAAAAGAGAGAAAATATAGGTTTTTTTTTTCAAAATGTTCTGTCTTTTTTTGCATATATAATAAAAAAAAAAAAAAACCCAATGGTGATCAAATATCACCAAAAGAAAGCTCTACTTGTGTGAAAAAAATTAGATAACATTCATTTGGGTACAGTTCTGCATGACCGCACAATTGCCAGTTAAATTAGAGCAGTGCCAAATAGAAAAAAAAAAAACACTGTCAAGTTTTTATTGTTGTCTGTGTTCCCGTTAAGGAGATTCACTCTCTAATTTTCCTGATCACCAATGTCACTGAGAACAAAAGTCAGGGTAAATCCTCAATTTTGAGTTGCCACCAGAACAGGAATAGAGGGGAAATCCTCTGAGGACACTTGCCCACATTGCAAAGACATCTTTTCACTTACTGTTGAGTCTACAGAGCAAGAAATAGAGGCAAATTTCCGTAGCCTCCCTGGCGGTATTCCCGAGTGTAGCTCGGGGTAAAGTTTCAGTGCCACAAGCGGTAACCCCGAGCTACACTCGGGCTTACCATGCGGCGCTGCTCCGGGATCCCTCAATCACTTACCTTGTCCTGCGCTCCCACGATGTCCCTCCTGCAGTGTCCCCTGTAATGTCCTCCGGCGGCGGTTACCGGCATCTTTCATCTGGGTTCCATCCCCTGAGAGTGTCGGGACATACGGGGATGGAACTGGCGGGAAATTTGAAAATGACAAAAAGTGACATTTACTAAATTCACTAAAATCATTACTGTACCAAGCCATTTCACATACATTTTGTCCCTAGTGCTTTGTCCTGTGCCCTAACTACATTTTTACCGGTCTTTCTGCCTGGAAACTGAGAAACGTCCATGGCATCCAAAAAGTGTCCCTTTAGGTCAAAATCGGTTTTAGACCAGCTAAAGAACAGCGATAGTAAATTAGCACCACTTGCAGAATTGAGTGATAATGATTCATGGGGAAATTCGTCATCAGACACTGAAAACGATTTTGCGACTTTGCTCAGTGATGTGCGAACTTGGCGCTATATTTCAAATTTTAGTGTTTTTGGTTTGATTATATCATTGAATTAAACGTATTATTATTATATTATTAATTTTTATGATTATTTATTAAATTATAATTTATGATTTCGTGTTTCAAATTTTAACATACCCGGGATGTTTACTAGACTCTTGTTCGTACAGATTTCAGTGAGTTATTCCTAAAAATTACAGGCCTACAATAAAAAAAATACATATTTCCATGCAAAAAAATGTACCGCTTTGAGCACAGAAATATGGACATAATCAGACTGCTAGGGAGGTTAATGAGACATAGATAGCAAAAACTGATAGCGGTCTTTAAGACACTCCTACTCTATTCAATTTAAAAAAGTATTGGCTTCACATATAAATTAAGAGCGCAAGAAATTAGATGACTATCTCCTACACCATCAATTTTTTTTCAGCTCAGTAAATGTTTTGTACCACCAGAATGATATAAAATAATAAGCAAATTTAAAGCAATTTTTTTTTTTTGCTAAATTCAATTATAAACACTGAAATGGAAACGTGTTTAATTTAAAGAATGGTTCCAGACTCCTGTTGTGTATTGAGTCATTTACTGTTGTCTATAGCACCTTATTGCAAGGATTTTACTTTTGCTCATAAATGCACTGTTACAATAGAAAGGTAGTGCTAAAGCATTACTACAGGTCAAATGAATGTGTTTATCATGGACCCCAGGGTGAGGGGATAGCAGAGTTCATAGTATGTACGTATACTTTATTATTTTAAGCATGGATGTAATAAAATATGGGATACAATTAATTTTTAAAGTGTCAGGATTTATCGAGTTTAGTGATTTTGTACATGTATCAATCCTTACTATTTCAGGTTGTTTTTTTTATTATCTACCAGAGACTATGAAGGTGTTATTAGAGCCCTAAAGAACAATGGGGTTGATTTACTAAAACTGAAGAAAATGCATAATCTGATGCAGCTCTGCATAGAAACCAATCAGCTTCCAGTTTTTTTTTTTTTTTTGTCAAAGCCTAATTGAATAAGCTGAAGTTAGAAGCTGATTGGCTACCATACTCATCTGCACCAGATTTTCCACTCTCTTATGATTGCATAGGAAGTATTTTGGTATGCAGATTTATGTTTTGTATTTGATGTGCAGTCTAATTTATTTACTCTATGATAAACGGTATATTTGCATATGTTAGAAATGCGTAAAAGCCATATTTATTATTAACTTAATTGTCTTTCTTTTAATACTCACAGGTGTATATACCTTTCTGTCTAGTACCTTAGAATCTTTAGAAGACACAGACCAAATTCATTTGATTCTGGACAAAATCATAGACACATTGGTGCATTTTATGGCTAAAACTGGACTCTCTCTTCAACAGCAGCAAAGACGACTGGCTCAACTGCTTCTGATACTTTCACATATTAGGCATATGAGGTAAGAAGCCATCTGCTTATTTTTTTTTTTTTAAAGCAAAAAACATCATTGAGTAAGCTTTCTGCTTTCTGCATCTAGCTATATAGCATATTCAAAAATTATTTGCTAAACTAAGTGAGCATTCACTTTTTAATGTGAATATTTCCTGCTACATGAGTGAATGAATAACAAATGAGTCAAGTGACTCCCACACTTCCATTTAGAAAAGAAGGGTAACCACTCTGTAGAACTGCAAAGTAAGAAGCAGATCCAGTGTTCGGAATGATCAAATATGGCGGCCACAATGTACAGTTAAAATTACACATTTTTCATAGAAGCAAGGTTCTGAAAACAAATCAAATACTTAAAATAACTTTTAAATCAAGTTTATCTTGTTTACCTTTACACACTATATGGTTAAAAGGATGTGGACACTTATATGAGCTTGTTGGACATCACATTCCAAAACCATGGGTATTAACATGGAGTTTGTCCGTTTCTCCAACTTTGCTACTATAACAGCCTCCACTTTTCTGCAAAAGCTATCCAGGCTGCCTAGCTGTGGGAAATAGTCCCCAGTGTGTCAAAAGAACATTTGTGAGGTCAGATGCTCATGTTGGGTGAGAAGACCAGTTTAATTTCATCTGAAAGATGTCAGGACTCTAAATTCCTCCACACTAAACTGTGCACAGGGGCACAGTCCTGCTGGAACAGAAAAAGGCCTTCCCAAAATTGTTACCACAAGGCTGGAAGTGCACAATTGTTTAAAATATCTTTTTATGCCTTAGCCTTAAGTACACTTCACTGGAAAGCCATGAAATCAATCATTTTGAGGGGTGTCCACATACATGCACCATATACACTATATCAAAAATTGTCTTCACATTAATAAGATTATACATTAACCCCTTCATGCCCAAGGGTAAATCACATCCTAATGCCTAAACACAGGATTGCAATTTTGACAGGTGTTAGTAAATCCGTACATATCACAACTACTTTGTACATCCAGGTGGATTATACCTTGTTTTTTTTTTTAGGACAAATTGGGATTTCATTTGGCAGTAAATTGTAATGGATATCTCTGGATTTTTTTATTTTTATTATCAAAGGAAAGCTGGCCCAAAATAGTAAAAAAAAAACAAATGTTTTTAAAATTTAGCTGTGTATTTCTTGTTACTACCATAACCTACTGTATTACCAAAGAAAAACCCAGAATAAATTCTCCTGCTCCTGCGATCACTGCGATGCCACATATGTGTATGGTTGTTTTTTTTTTTACCCATAGTACAGCACAGAAACAATAGTGCACAATTTGCTATTTCTTTTTTGTTCTACCTAAAACACACTGACACTAACTGACACCGATATTAATTTACAAAACAGAAAAAAAAAAAATCCTGCACAAAATATACTGACCCTGACCTTTGACCTTGACCCAACACTAACCCTGACACTGACCTAGATCAAACCTTGTGCTAGGTATTTTTTCTTTATTTTTTTCGTTTATTTTTAATATTTCTTTATTTTACACACTGTTGTTTCTTTTTCTCTCTCTGAAAGGCAGAGAGAAAACACAGGGGAGGGCTTCACAGTGATTGATCACTGTGATAGCCAATCAGAGGCTATCACAGCGATCAGGTGACCCAGAACTGGTAGTTAGTACAGGACCAGGAGCTTATGGTGAGACCCATGTGGTGTGCTGCCAGCACAAAGGGAGATACGCAAATATGTGGCCACATGGCATAAAGCCCAGGGCAGTGAGGCCACATATTTGTGTGTGGCCAGCATCAAGGGGTTAAATAAATGAATTTAAAGCTGGAGTTTAGATATGGCAATTTTTGCATAGTATGTATGTGCCATACCTGTAGGATCCCTGTGAAAGCTGGAAATCACTGTAGGTTGTAGCTTACTACAGTGATCTCCACTAGCTTCTGGGTCCCATCCTGAACGATTGCTGTGCTGCACTGGGAACATAGAAGGTCATTCATGGAACACTTAATATTTTCTCAATTAATACAAACATTCTTTGATTAGACAAGGTAGAGAGGTGGGGCAGTATCATCACCAGCTCCAGCTGATCCAATCAGAGAATTCTTTACATTCGAGGTGAGCACCTATCCCAGGTGAACATTCTCCTGTGTTCAGTAAGCAGCAGGGCAGTCACTCAGCATGGGACCCAGAAGCTAATGAAGATCACTTTCCAGCTTTCATGGGGATTCTATAGGTATGTCACATACATACTCTTGGACCAATGTGACTATATAAAACTGTCATACCTAAACTTCAGCTTTCAATAAATTAGGCTCTAGTTACTTGAAAGACATGCTGCACCCTCAGGCCCCCATTCACCCTCTTTGATCATCGGGTTCAGGAGCATTCTCTAATTTAACCCCCACTCTCTGAAGCTCGCTACCAGATTAAATAAGACATAATCCTCAATATGGGATAAACACTCACATCATTTTCTACATGGTATATGAGAGTAAATTTAAATCCCTATTCCTCTTTAAGACAAATAACTGTTAATAATTGTTAATATATACTGTATGTAACTGCAATATTAGCTCCAAGGATGAAAAGTTAATTATAACTGTTTCTTTGTACTTGTAGTGAATAGCTTAATATCATATTTTACTAGTTATTTTACTAGATTTTATAAAGTAACTCCAGAAAAAACAACACTTGCAGCATTCCCCCTTCCACTGCACTGCAAAGGTTAAATGTTTGTTTTGTCATCCACATCCCAGAACCACTGGTCCTACATTGAACATGAATACATCAGAAAGGCCATGAATGTTTGAGTGGCAAAAAATCCTCTTTGGGGACCACTTGTGTGACAGGGAGTAAATTTGCAGAAGTATAGAAAAGGTATTTGCTTAGTCATCTGCCCCTAGACAAAATGTACAATGCAGGGGTAAATAGTTTTTTTTTTCTGGAGTTCTGCTATAAGAAAGCTATTTTTCAATGTTAGGGTTCTAAGAAGTAAATAATAGGATGTACTTGGCAAACAAATCTACGTATCGTGCATTAATACTTGGCTCTACCTAATGTTATAAATCTTTTGATTAAATGAAAAAATCCTCTTTGAAACACTACAGCTCCAAAGGCTTCCAAAACATACAAGATGGTATATATGATAAGACATTAATATTTATTGAGCATTAAACTAAATAACCAGAAGGTATTTAGGTATTAAGTCTTGTAAAATGATTAACAGCTTCGATTTTATTGAAAAAGAGAGACAGTATGATTATTTACACTACAGGTCATATTTAATAACAATATGCAAATAATGCCATAAAATATTAGCTTTGTGCTTTAAGTTTTATTCATAATAATGATTAGTTGTTGCAGATTATGCCAGATCACTGTTCTTTATGCTATATTAGTTCATAATTCCTTAACATTGACTATGGCCTGAAAGAGCAACTATCTCAGGTCTATAGACACAAAAGACACCCTCAGTCAACCCTTTGGCCGATATCCTCATCTAAAAAAGACTTAGGTTGCATTCAGACTGGTACACAAGGATGGCCACCAAATATTATCAGAGATTCTCGCCAGTGATGCTAAATGTTGTCACACAGTGTGTGTGGCCAGAAACAGTCAGCGGTGGCTGTAAAATTTGTATTCTGTACAAGTCAATTGTTGATGCTACTGCAGTTCACATTTAACTAAGCGACCATGGTGCCAGTGTGTGTCCAGAGTTGGCATTCTATAGAGTTTTTATGCGGCCATAGTGTTGCTGTGTCCAGATGCAGTATTTACCTGACTCTGAACTCTGCAAACTATCTGCCTCGGCCTCCTGTGTGAATGTAACCGTAATCATGCCAACCTCCATCTGATATCTGTGGTCACCCTAAAGCTGAACACCACACAAAAAAAAAACTTTTGATATATATATATATATATATATATATATATATATGGTTTGGGCAGCACAGTGGCTAAGTGGTTAGCACTTCCACATTGGTTCAAATCCCAGCCATGGGACTACCTGCATGTTCCCCCTGTACCTGTGTGGGTTTCCTTCAGGTACTCCAGTTTTCTTCCACACTCCAAAGACATGCTGGTAGGTCAATTGGCTCCTGTCTAAAATTGCGAGGCAAAACAAAACAAAAAGCACACCAACCTTGCACATTACTTCAGTAAACCAAAATTTATTGAATACAGAATAATACTCACAAAATGCGAAGCAAATCAAGCACGTAATTCCTCAAGGGAACTTTAAAATAGTAGAGCCTGCGCGAGTCCCATCATAGGGGTAGACAGCCATGGTACAGCTGACGCATTTTGAAGCTCTGATGAAGACGGGACACCCTTTGAAACGCATCAGCTGTACCCTGATTGTCTACCCCTGTCATGGGACTTGCACAGGCTCTACTATTTTAAAGTTCCCTTGAGGACTTACATGCTTGATTTGCTTCGCTGTTTGTGAGTATCATTCTGTATTCAATAAATTTTGGTTTACTGAATGTAATGGTAATGCGCAAGGTTGGTGCGCTTTTTGTTTTGTTTCGCTTCGCAGTATTGGTCGGGCTTCCCCAGCCTTGTTTGGAGCTGCACAACCTCATATGCACTGGTGGTCAAATTTTTCAAGTTCTGGTTCCATCTATCCACCCCTTCTCGGGTCTCAGAGCGCAGGAGAGTTCGTTTTTTGGTTCTTCCTGTCTAAAATTGACCCCAGTATATGTACTGTATGTATGAATGTGAGTTAGGGACATTAGATTAAAAGCTCCTTTAAGGTTAGGGACTGATGTAAATGAACAATATATGTAAAAGTGCTGCATAAATTGGCACTTGCCCTCGGTACAGCAATGTGGTGTAGTTAGTATAGAAGTACCTGTAATAAATAAATAAATATATATTTATAAATAGCCACAAAGGCTGTAAATACATTTTCTTTGTGGCACATGCCGTTACAAAACCAGATAATACCTTGTAAACGTAGCAGTGACATCATCACTGTGCTGCACAAAGCTTGTCTACATAGGAAGGCTGTGGGTGGGAACCATCAGGTCCATCTACTACAGGCAGCCTGCAGAACACCACATGGTTGCCAATACAAACCAGAGAACCCCGTAGGAGAAAGTAGCAGAGACAAGGAAACTACTGCTCAGAGGTAAAGTGTAGAAATTGTTTCATGCTGGAATACTGCACAGATCTAAAAATATGCATAAAGGACACTGAAGGGGGCTTTTTATATATATATATAAAAAAAAAAAGTCTCAAACATTAACATAGCTGTCTTGAATAACATCCACAGTTTATGTAGTACAGGTGCATCTCAATAAATTAGAATATCATCAAAAAGTTAATTTATTTCAGTAATTCAGTGAAAAAATTATATAGATTCATTACAACAACAGAGTGATATATTTCAAGAATTTCTGTCTTTTAATTTTGATGATTATGGCTTACAGCTAATGAAAACCCAAATTCAGTATCTCAGAAAATTAGAATACTGTGAAAAAGTTCAATATTGTAGACTCACGGCGTCACACTGTAATCAGCTAATTAACTAGCCTGTAAAGGTTTCCTGAGCCTTTAAATAGTTTCTCAGTCTGGTTCAATAGGTTACACAATCATGGGGTCACTGCTGACTTGACAGTTGTCCAGAAGACAGTCACTGACACCCTCCACAAGGAGGATATGTCACAAAAGGTAATTGCTAAAGAAGCTGGCTGTTCCTAGAGTACTGCATCCAAGCATATTAATGGAATGTTGAGTGGAAAGAAAAAGTGTGGTAGAAAAAGGTGCACAAGCAACGGGGATAACCACAGCCTTGAGAGGATTGTGAAGCAAAGGCCATTCAAGAATATAGGGGAGATTCACAAGGAGTGGACTACGGCTGGTGTCAGTGCTTCAAGAGCCACCACACACAGAAATATCTAGGACATGGGCTACAACTGTTGTATTCCTTGTGTCAAACCACTCCTGAACCAGAGACATCAGAAGTGTCTGACCTGGGCTAAAAAAGAACTGGACTGTTGCTCAGTGGTCCAAAGTCCTCTTTTCAGATGAAAGTAAAGAGGGAGAGTGGAGAGGCACAGAATCCAAGTTGCATGACGTCCAGTGTGTAGTTTTCACAGTCAGTGATGATTTGGGGAGCCATATCATCTGCTGGCGTTGGTCCACTGTGTTTTATCAAGTCCAAAGTCAGCACAGCCCTCTACCAGGAACTTCTAGAGCACTTCATGCTTCCTCTCTGCTGACCAGCTTTTTAGAGATGCTGATTTCATTTTCCAGCAGGACTTGGCACCTGCCCATACTGCCAAAAGTACCTATATCTGGTTTAATGATCATATACCATGTATATATGACTTGACTGGCCAGCAAACTCGCCTGACCGAAACCCCATAGAAAAACTGTGGGGTATTGTCAAGAGGAAGATGAGACACCAGTCCCAACAATGCATGCAAGCTGAAGGCCGCTATCAAAGAAACATGGCTTTCCATAACACCTCAGCAGTGACACAGGATGATCACCTCCATACCACGTTGCACTGAAGCAGTAATTTGTGCAAAAGGAGCCCCAACCAAGTTTTGAGTGCATACTATACTGTACATACTTTTTAGTAAGACAAAATTTCTGTATTTAAAATCTTTTTTTTTATTGGTCTTCTGTAATATTCTAATTTTCTGAGTTACTGAATTTTGGGTTTTCATTAGCTGTAAGCCATAATCATCAAAATTAAAAGAAAAAAATGCTTGAAATATATCACTCTGTGTAAGGAATATATATAATATATGCGTTTCACTTTTTGACTTGAATTACTGAAATAAATTAACTTTTTGATGATATTCTAATTTATTGAGATGCACCTGTATGTATATTTCCTATGATCATCAGCCCCATCTAGTGACTATAATGCAGTATTCTGATGAAAAAATCAGGAAAATACATTGTTATGACCACTAGATGGGGCTGACAATCATAGGAAGTAAACATATTACACAAATTACGGTGATTATTCATGACAGCTTCACAAATGCGTGAGACATTCGCATAGCAAAATGTTATATAAATATATAAATTCATACCTAAGGTTCAAGTAAGAATAAACAAAGCTCTTGTATTGAGATACTGGAAGACTTCAAGGGGTGAAGACTGAGGTCCAAAGACCCAGGTGCACAGTCTGCCCCCTCATCCTATTTCCTTCTGTCTGACATTCTGCATGAGCAGAAGGAGTGCAGCCATCCTGGGGTTTATTTACTAAACCTGGTTGACTCAGAATCTTGGGCACCTGTGCATGGTAGCCAATCAGCTTCTAACCTTAGCATGTTCAGTTAAGCTTCAGCAATAAAACCTGGAAGCTGATTGGTTTTTATGCAGAAGTGGACAAGATTCTGAGTCAACCAGGTTTAGTAAATAAACCCCCCTGTGTCCTACAACTGAAGGCTGCTGGATATCATGGTGAAGGCTGATGTGAAGACCAGGGTTACAATATGGAACAGGATAGTAGCTGGAGCTGTGCTTGTCTGTAGCAGGAGAATGTGCTCAAGATAGCCATTGTTCACCCAAATGTGTCACAGGGTTGCATAATCTTCATAGCTTGCGGAAGGTGGTGCACACTATGATCATGGACTTGACAAGCTATTTAAAGTGGCTCCTGCTGAGTCATGGCTGCAACAAATTAATCAAAATCAACCTGCCCCACCAGCGTCACACTACACCTGCACTAAGGTATTCTCGCTGCCCACGGCAGTGGCCCAGTGTCCAGGGATTACCCTCTGGGTGGGGTCTGAGGTGTTTGAGGGGTGGGAGGGGAACCCCAGAGAGATAGGATCAAAAACCCTGAACTCACCACACTGACCCCTTTCCAAGGGAAGACCCACCAGGTGGGCATATCCTCTTCTCCATAAAGAGGGTTTTATGCACTGGAACTACCCATTGTTCTGTAGAGCACTCTGCATTTAACTGCACCGCATTGCAAGGTCCAGTGCTGAAGTCACCATTACAGGCCAGCCCCATGTCTTCCATATGGCGGGGTCTGGGTACAGTTCCCTGAGGTGCTGCTGATGAGCGACCCATCTGGAATATGAAATCACATTGCTCCAGTGGCATTGATGCAGCCAGAAGGAAAAGTATTTCTCCATGTGAAGAACTAAGCATAGTCTTCAATCTTTCAGAAATGTTGGAATGACAAACCAGAAGCTGCTCTCTGTAGAGAGAGATCAACCCTCAACTAAGGACAATAGAAAAAAACTGAGGATTGCTGGGAGTGGGAGGGCTTATATGGGCTGTCCTACCAACTCTTTGCCATTGTCCTCACCTGAAGGTAACAGCATAAAACGCATGTTCAAGACTGTTTAAAGTTTATTTGCTACTTTTTAAGAATGTGTAAACATTTGAATACTCATAGTCTATCCACAGTTCTACATTAGGAAGCCAGGCAACATTCCTGTTTATTCATAATGAAAAATGTATGTACCTTTTTCTGCATTAACTTTAAAATGTTGCATTTTTTTACAGCAATAAAGGGATGGAGCACCTGTACAGCATGAAGTGCAAAAACGTAGTGCCGCTATATGACTTGCTGTTGGAGATGCTGGACGCACATCGCATGCATACACCCAAAGAAAAATTTGTAACTCAAGAGGAAGATAGCCGTAGTCCACTGACTGCAGCCCCGACTACTTCACCCTGCTTGCAGCCTTATTATGTAAATAGGGAGGAAACAAGTTTGCAAAACTCATTATGAAAGAATGCTGTTTTTACTTTGATTTTCTTTTTTTTTTTTTTAATTGATTGGTCTTAAGTGGCCATGCAGTTCCCAACAATATACTACCTAGTACCTATAGTCTGTGCACCAATTTAGCTGAATAATGCTGCATATATAAACACACTCCGGCATGCATCTTTTCAATGATTTCTAGTGCAGGGTTTCATCATCTCTTTGCAACCTATCAAAGTGGAAGAGGCGCCATTGGGCTGAAGGACTCTCTCCATTACAATAAATGCTTTCTGTGATTTTATTTTTGTACGCTATTTCATGTAAACTCTGTGCTACCAAGGAGCACAACTACATTTCTACAGCTTTCAATAAAATAGTTTGGATAGTGTTAAAATAGCATGGACTATGACTGATGCAAAATCAGTATATACTGTAGTTTCACGTGTGCAAGTTTTTATCTAGCACCAAGCATTTACAAATATCATTTATATGAACACTTTATCTACAGTTGTGTTAGTGTATCTAGTTCTCAATGTTACTGTAGATATCACTAGTGCCATTTCACTTACTACTTTATATAGTTCATCCCATCATATTCCTATTCATTATCCATTTTCTTTACTGTTTATCAATGGTTTCTCTGGCTATTAATCAATCTGACAAGGGAGCAAATTGAATATACATGTAGTGCCAAACATTTATTGGGCACAATGGTTTTACAGTTGAGTGGTAGTCCTTAAGATGTCATTAGCCTTGACTGTTGGTGAACGAATGTGGTGCTCCAACCAGGTCCAACCAAGTCATATTATATGTTTAAGTGCTTATCTACATTTTGTGTTCTCTTTGATTATTAATAAGCCTACAAATGTAGGATTTTTAAAGGCACTAAATTATGATAATATTTTTGATAATTTAATAATGAAATATGATAAAGGTGGCCTAAACTATAACTAAACCATCTCAGTAAACAGATGGCCTTTGTTTGTTTTTTTATTTACTGACAATGCTGAAAATGCTCTATGGGTGTGGCTAGAAATGTGTACCCTATACTATAAATATCATAAATATACCTTATCAATATGATAAAATATGAGAATGTTTCAAATCAATTATTATTGCCTAACATGCCTTTGAGCATGGATATATTTTGTTTGCACTATAACAAATGACACTTTGAATTAGACTGGCTGCTATGGGTTACAGCCAGAACCAGTTCTACATGAAAGTAGACAACAGGAATAAAACATTTAACAGCATAATTCCTGCCTTTTCTATCCAATTGCCTTTGGGGATCTTTAAATAATTTTCCTGTTAGAGCAAACTGGACTATGCTTTATAAGGGTTTATTTCCTCTGATTCAACTACAAGTTAAGGATTCTGTGGAAGTATTTTTTAAATTTTTTACAAGCATAAATATGTAGCCCCAAATCCTGGGGTGCTCGAATATGCAAATTCTGACACTTCTTAGCACTGATGGAAGCTTACTTATTCCTTCTTCCTCCCATACCTTTCAGTTGGCCTATATGCCTACCAGTATGATACCACTTTTTGGCCAACAGGAAAGTACGGGAGGGAGTTTTAAAAAATTGCTAAGGAATGGTCATGAGGCCAGTTCAATACGATTATAGCACTGACAAGTGTATTTTAATCACATTTGATAGTAAAAACATGTTATTACTGTAAATGCAGTTTATGTATCCTTGCGTTTTGCACAATACACGCGGTTCTTTAGAAGATCTTTATGTTGTTCTTTGATATATTTATTAAATATATCACCTAAGTTGTCTTTTTTTAGCTCTCTAACACTGTCATTTATAAGGCACCAACATATTCTACTTCCCTTGATAATTCAGGAAGAACAAACAAACTAGGGAAGAACATGTAACAAACAAAACAAAAGTTGCATTTTTTTTCTAAGTCTGCTGGTGTCTGTGTTACTGTTACCATGCAATTTAAAACTTGATCAGGGTGCATCAGCGCTGAGCAAACCTTTTAGCGCTATATAAATACTGTATAATAATAATAATAATCTATGCTGACTAATCATCTAGAGCAGGGGTTTTAAACTGGTGGCTCTCCAGCTGTTGCGGAACTACTAGTCCCATCATGCCTCTGTCTGTGGGAGTCATGTTTGCAACTGTCAGCCTTGCAATGCCTCATGGGACTTGTGGTTCCGAAACAGCTGAAGGGCCACCAGTTTGACATCTGTGATCTAGAGTGTGGCCATACTTCTCTTCTGGGTCACAAGAGTGCACTTCTTTTGCACTCCTGTGACCAAGGATCAGCTGTCAGCAGACTAAAGCCCAGATTCTGACGGGATCCTGACAATAATGTTGGGATTCACCCAGAAGCCTGACTGGCAGCTGATTCCACCTCTCAGTGTGCCACTGAGAGCCTGAGCTAGCCACTCCCACCATCTTCACAGCCCAGCACTCCAGTGAGCGCTGGAGGAGCGGATCAGAGAGCTGGTGACTTACAGTCACTACTCTCTGCTCAGAGCGGATTGAGGACTAAGTGATCAGTGGTCATGTGATCACTCAGTTCTTGGACTTAGAGCTGGGAGGAAACAGCTACACCTATAGTGGTATGAATTTTTCCTTTTTTATTCCTACTCTGCTCCTTTAAGTGATTGACACTCTAACACTCTGATGTTACACTTTTGATTACTTAACAGTGTATATTCAACAAACTATACAATTTTTAATTGTATTAGGCTGCTCTACAACACATATATGAGAAGAGTAAAAGTAGAAATTAAATCAGATTAAAAGCTGAAAAAAATCTCAATGTACAGTTCATACCTACTGTCCCCCCACTTGCACTGTTGATCTCTATTCTCTTGAAAAGCTACAGTGGCTGAACACAAAAGAGGCACCTCTATGAGTGTGGGATGCAAGTTCCCCCACTTCATTCTTTTCTTTTTTTCCACCCACTAATGTAAATTAGCACAAAAGCTAACATTTTCAAATACATGTTAGCAATGGAAGCCCAAGTATTCCTCAGATTTATTTTAAGCTAGATTTGCCATAGACACAGATGACTATAAAAATACAAATGCATTGATGATTCTCACTGGCCTGAAGTGGGCTAATGTCCTTTGTAAATGTTACAGACCACTATGTACCCTTTGACATCACTCAATTGATTCACTAGCTGTGTTGCATTACCCAGACCTAAAACATCGGGACTGAACTCCAATATCTATGTCGGTGCAGCCATCTCCTTCCCTGTAGATGTTACCATAAAACTGTATTTTGTTCATTATAAAAAATGGAATACAGTGAACACTTAGTACAGCTGCTCAGATTTTCTTTTTAAATACATGTATTCATAAAAAGGAAAGATCCCACTTCACTTTCATGCCTCTACTGTTGGGGTACAATCAACTTAAAAGAAAATGCAAACTCTCACAAAGGTGATTACAGAAAAATCAATGCGCATTGTAGTTTGATCGACTAGTTTACATATTTTTATAGTTTTATTAGTAATATTTGTATTAATATTGACTACAATAATTTTTGATCCAGCAAATTAGGCTTAAGCAGTAAAAGGCACTTTACATATACAGTACTGTATACAGTATCTATGTAAGCACCAGTTTGTTTCTGTTTTGGGCAACACGTGCCTAGCTTTATCATTTTTCAGAGGGGAAAACTGAAAAATATCAGTTTCATACTCACATACTGCCTTAAGATTTATGTGATATATTTTCCCTACAGAAATGGTGCTGCATGAATACTTTGTATGCCTTCAGAGAGATAACAATTGTCAGCACACCAGACCACTATAGTTTCAATGGGTAGGAGAGACTTTTTTACTTTGCAAAAATAAAGCTAAGTGTACTTCAATCATCCATTCAAGATATCATGCATATGATTGGGTGCTCAAAGTGAACATACCTTCACCTAGATCACTAAGCTAAATAAATATTCTCTACTTTTTTAGTACGGAAATAATAAAGTGTATCAAATTTTGGCTAGAGTAGTGAATAGTTAGAACTCCTTTCAGATTATTGTGCTTTCTGTGTCCACCTTGGAGAGATTTCCTTTCACTTCCTGTATCAGGACACAGCAGGAAGTAAAAGGAAATCTCTACAATGTAAGGGGAAATCACTTATTTGTCGTTTACAGAACAGGGATTATCCATGTGACATAAACGTCCATGTAAACGTTCATTAAAAATTAAAGATACTTTTATGGAAGATGCAGATGATTATGTTATTCTTTTACTATTTTGTATACATTGCTGAAAAGAATGTTGGTGCTCTATAAATGAAAAAAAAAAAACTGTACTTCAGCAACAGTTCACCTACATATTCCAACATCCTCTGCCCAATATTGGCTAGATGTGATTTCACAACAATTTTATTAAGAATCCCAGCTGCTGTGATGACACATGTAATTCATAGTGCCAGAGCAGATGCCTGTTATTTCTAGAAGGTAAACCCATGATGATTATTTGAACAAGCAGCTCACCCACTGTCCTGTAGCTTTATGCCTTGTACACAGAATGAGAAAATCGGATGAATGTTCCTTCATGTTTTTTTGCATATTACGCAAATATCAAACATCTCATACGATACAAGTTCCTGTGCGCATGACAACATTCCAGCATGTAATCAGAAGTGATGTCTTGTTTGTGTGACCCCTCTGCAGATAATAACCAAATTGTAGCAATATGATTATCACTCCATTATTGCTATTATACAGTCAATATTTCTATCCTGAAAACAATATTTTTTTTCTATTTAGGAGCATTTTGTTGTATACGAAAATTGTTTTCATTGTCTTTTCTCCTTCTGGGGGGAGAGGCTGGCTTAGGCTCTCAGTGGCATGCAGAGAGGCTGAGCTAGCTGTCAGTCAGGCATCTGGGTGGATCCCAACTTTAAATTCAGGATTCCTACAGAATCTGGCTGGACCGGCTGAGTAAAGTCAGCCAACAGCAGGCTTTAGCAGATGAAGGAGTGCAGAACGAAGTGTACTCCAGTGACCTACAGGAAAAGTAGGGCCAAAGAGCTTTTTATACCC